AATAGCTTTTCTCAAGATAATCTGTTGGGATCAGGAATGCTTGGTAGTGTATACAGAGCAGAGCTTCCGAATGGAAAGGTACTATAACTTTCAATCGGCATGTATTTATTATGATGCACCAATTTATTAACTGTGGTTTCCTACTCCCACTAGATTGTCTAGAGTCTAGACTGCTAACTTTTTGTAATTCTCCATTCTTGACTGCTATTTATCGTCCAGTTGTATCAAAGTAGCCTCCTAAACTCTAGTCAGTATATACGTTGGTAGAGTGCTTCGGCATTTTATCACTAAAATTATTACAAATGGTTGTGATACCAGTAGGGTTTTGCTGTGGAACATCATTTTCCTGTATCCTTTACTATAGCATTCCCTAAACCAAGGAACATCTGTTAAAGGAATTCTACCTATTGTATCTGATATTCTTGTTTCTGACATTTCGTTAGCTAGTTAACACCCGCTCAAGGATGCAATAATTGCACTATTTTCCCTTTAGGATCCTTTCGGTTATTTTCTTTTCCTTCTTGTTCCAAGTTAATCTTCCTGTGGTAATTTCTTCCAGTGACCAACATAGTTGACGAAATTTTGTCCTATAACTATATTTTAAGATTGTTAAAATGAAAATCAACCTTCTAGCTATATTAGTGTTCGAGTATGTTTTTCTACCCTTATTTTTGTCCATCTCTTAGTAAGAGGATCAGCGAGATGCAGCTGCATCTTTTTCTGGTCTTAATTCTAAATAACAAACTATATGTATGAGTGCGTTGTTTCCTCTATATAATTATTTGGGGTGTACTATATGGATTTCTCTGGCATGCAAATCTTACTTCTCTTCCTTCTCTTGCACTGTGCACCACAGCATTCAAGTGGTTGCAACATTTCGCTTCTGACACGTGCTCCTTTTGGATCCTTATGCAGTTGCTTGCTGTCAAAAAGCTTGACAAAAGAGTTTGCAGTGAACAAAAGGACGAGGAGTTTCTTGACCTAGTAAACAACATCGACAGAATTCGTCATGCTAATGTTGTTGAGCTGATGGGGTATTGTGCAGAGCATGGTCAAAGGCTTCTGGTCCATGAGTATTGCACTAACGGGACACTACAGGATGCACTTCATTCTGACGATGAATTCAAGAAACAACTTTCGTGGAATACTCGAATCAGGATGGCTCTTGGAGCTGCAAGAGCTTTGGAGTGAGTCAAATAACAATACACACATTTAATATTTATGCACATACACGTGTGTGCGAGCGCGCGTACGCATGCGTGTGTGTATAAGCTCCTACTTAAAATTGTAATGGGTGAAGAATTTTTGAGGGCGTACCTATAATAAGTACTTCCGATGATTCTAGATGATAAATCAGTGTTACTTATTAAAATACAAACAATAAATTGGTTGTCGTATAGTGACGAAGTCAATCACAAGCTCATTTTAGTCCATAACTTTCTTGTGTTGTGCATATTGCATGATAGAAAGCCACAAAACGATGACCTGGAATAGTCTTCACTAAATATAAAATGTCAGATGTAGCTGTTATTTGCTTGTTGCTACTCCTTTCTTTGCTTCCGCATGTCCAAGAAAAAATGAATAAAGTTAAAATTAATTGGGTAGCATTGCGAAGTAGTCTGAATCTTATCTTTAGATTTACATGAAAAAGTGACCTAGAGCATATTTGAATTAGCCATTCTTGTTTTGATGGAATGCAGGTACCTCCATGAAGTCTGCGAGCCACCTATTATTCACAGAAACTTCAAATCGGCCAATCTTCTGCTTGATGATGAGTTGGCTGTACATGTTTCAGATTGTGGTTTAGCTCCATTGCTATCGTCTGGTGCTGCGAGTCAGGTAACTTGCTAACCTAATGTTCTGGAGTAGAAAGGATGGAATATTCCTCGGATTATTAATTTTCCCCTATGTACTGAAAAAGGAACAGTACAGTAGTGATGGTCAAAGTGCTTTCAACAAGACGTTGGATAGGGTGAACCTCAGAAGTCTTAACACCTTTTCCCTGTAAATTTGGAAACGGAGGAGTTAGTTCACTAGACTAGCCAAATATTGCTGGTTCACTATATTGGTGTTTCTTTATTAGGTTATCAGAAACAGAAGATTTGCTTAACTTCCTTGAAGGACCTCATTATTTCTCATTTATATTTCAAAAAGCAGTAAATACAAATGGTGAAGGTGCTCTTCTCGCAATGTGCATGTGGATTATCGGTCTTGCTACCTTGTCATTATTTATTGTTCTTTTTATAAAGCAGTCTTCTTAATCTTATGTGTTTGAATACTTTTGCGTTAAGTTTAAGGTATGTTAAAAACTATATCAAGTTGACATTATACTATTTTTCAGTTGTCGGGACAACTTCTCACAACCTATGGCTACAGTGCTCCAGAATTTGAGTCAGGGATTTATACTTCCCAAAGTGATGTTTACAGTTTTGGCGTAGTGATGTTAGAACTATTAACAGGCAGAATGTCATATGATCGGTAAAGAACTCGTCTGCATCCTATTGAGATAATTTAGTTGTGCCTCTTCTCTTACCGGAGCATAACACACCTGCATTGCATATCATATTCAGGACAAGGACTCGAGGAGAGCAGTTCTTGGTCAGATGGGCAATCCCTCAGCTACACGATATTGATGCCTTGACAAAGATGGTTGATCCTTCTCTCAATGGAAAATACCCCATTAAATCATTATCACACTTTGCTGACATAATTTCTCGCTGTGTTCAGGTGAGTTATTATGTTATGCCTTTATCTGAATTATTACTCTGCCTTGTCTAAGCCCTGAGTGGATGACATAGTCTTAGCTGTCCTTAATCTCAAAGAGCAGAGGAATCAGGGTATAAATTCCTCTGGTCTGTGCCAATTAAGTATCAGCCAACCCATTTCTGTATTCCTTCGTAAAATATCTTAAATACAAAGTGAAAGGGACAATGTACATATATAACATTGGTAGCTTCTTTGTCACAAGGAGAAAAACAGAAGACTGGATTTTGAGAAAAAAATTGAGAAAGTTTTTTCTCAGCTTTGTACATTAACTACAATAACAAGAGAAAAGATAAGATTTGCGTAGCTTTTCATTTTTCTTTGTCCTACTCCTACCATGTTAACATTTTCACTACGTTACAACTTTTGTAGGAGGATGAAAACTGAGAATAAGTCATTTTCAACCTTACTTCCTTTACTATCTCAACTGCTAAGTGAAAGATTCCAACCTGTTAGAGATTTGCCATTCTGGTTTGAAATTATTTGGGCATGTCTCTGAAAACAAAAAAAACTTCAACAAAAATGTTTCTAAAAAATCAGAATAACATCTTTCCGGCAACAAAAACCAAACTGAACTTTCACAATACCCAATAAGCTTTTAAATATTACCACTCTTTTTGTAATTTTCATCTATTATTATGTTTAAAAGTTAAAAATGTTATCTATCATGCTTTTCTTCTTATATAAAGTGGGTTTGAATACATTGAAAGGGGAAATAAAGGATTCATATAGCTGACCTAAACTATTTTCTGTTAAGACATAGTTAATTGATTGATTAAATTCTTTTCTATTTAAAATCATTTTCTACTTCTTACCTCTTTTAATGACTGTAGTACAAACTTAGTATCACTGTGTTACTTGGGGATATTGTTACATGGAGGTGGAACGATTAATGTAGTTGGTAAAGGGTCGCCATCTTTTGTTTTCTACTTCGATGAAATATTAAGTTCAAAAACAGGTGTTTGAAAAGGATGGTAATACCACATTGTCTTCCAATTTGAAGCTTGTAGGTACAACATAGATAGTCTCTTTGCCTTATATTATTTTCTTGCTTTGTGGGGGAGGGGGAATTTTCTTAAGATCGTCTGCCATTTTGTTCTTTACGAAATCAAGTGTGCATGTATGAGGGGAAAGAGAGAGGGAAGCGCACTCATCCTAGCAAATTTCTAAGATTTAGTTGTTGTATAGGTTTGCCTTCATATTTTACTTTACCTAACTTCTGAACTATTTGTGCAGCATGAGCCAGAATTCAGGCCACCAATGTCAGAAGTTGTTCAGGACCTTATTCAAATGATAAGAAGAGAACCTCACAATAGATCGGATGGCGAATTATTATGATTTGAATTAGACATTCATGCTGGGAATTCAGCTGGTTAGTACCTAACAAGATTTGAAGATTATTTGTTTTTGAAGTGAGCTCGGATACTCGGACCAAAGAAACGAGGTTGCAGGCTATCCTGCTAACACAACTTCATACTGAAACAAAAGGCAATCAGGAAGCGCGATTCTTGAAAGAACCAACACAGGAAACTTAGTGCCCTGCTAACAACACAGCTTGCTCATCTCAATCTTGTCAAATTTTTGCATCATATCATTTAGGATAAACATGAGCTGCAATGCATAAAATTCTCAAATCCCATTGTTTGACAAGTATTATAATTTTGTTGTTAGTTAGTGTAGGAGTGTCTCCTGAGTTCTGAAGTTGTATATTTTGTTTTACATGTACAATGTCATTTGGTTGTACAAGGAAATCTTCATTCTTTCTCGGGACACCAATAAAGGCGAATCCAGAATCTAGAGTAAGTAGATTAAGTGTGTTCTTATTATACGTATTCATTTTAAAATTGTGTATGTATACATAGTTCGAGTCGAAAGCAATAGGTTCAGTTGAACTCGCTGTAGATTACCTTTGCATATCAACCAATAGTTTGGATTTATACATAGCTCGCCAGGAAAACAAAGCAATGCCAAGATCGCCATTAGAAAATCAAGTGGCATATTTTATATTTCACCAATAGTTACACAGAATGAGTAGCAAGAATGAACGTGACATTACTACCAAATTAAATGGCGACACCTGTTTTTCTCAACCTAGCTGGACGTTTTTAATGTTTGTCTTAAATTTTAACCTACCGACCGCTAGCTGCGAACCAAATGACGTAATAAATTTTTTCTGCCTCTACATAAAGGGGAGCCTTGTTACTTATATATATATATATATATATTACATACTCACTCATTCGCTGTCCACTCACCCAAAATAAAAAAGATTGAGCATTTTTTCTTAGACAAATGGCTCAAACAACACCAAATCACACACAAAATGTTTCTGGTTGGGCAGCTCATGATTCTTCTGGCAAGATCACACCTTTTACTTTCAAGAGAAGGTAGATAATATTCACCATTTATTTTTTTTTGTTGACATTTTCTTATCCGTTGTATAAATTGTTGGATGTTATGTATGCTGACGGTGTAAATATTTTCTACAGTATTTGTATAATTTAACTTGTGATAGTAGTTACTAATCTTTTTTCTTTTACTTTTTTGGGTGAAATTTACCAGAGAAAATGGTGAGAATGATGTGACCATTGAGATCTTGTATTGTGGCATGTGTCATACGGATCTTCATCATGTCAAGAATGATTGGGGTTTTACTATGTACCCTGTTGTGCCTGGGTAGTTATCTTATTTACATTCATTTCTCCATCTAAATCTATCTTTACCTATTTTGAAAATGATATCCTGCATGTTAATAGGACAATTATAACAAGTCGCACACTCATACTTCGGAGATACAAAAACAAAGAAATTAACTCATCTAACTACCAAAAGAAAATAAACTAGAACAAGAATTGGAGCTCTAATTAAGATGATTCATTTGGACTAATCAATATTACTTCATATGACTTTATCTTCTTTTTGAGATCTTGCGCTATTCTACGCTTTAACCTTATACTACAACAAATGAGTATGTTTTTATTTATAAGGACAGAGCAATGTCATGCAAATTACCCTTACACACACATGGCACATAACTCACTCAGGATTGGATTCATAGACACTCTAGTCAAAGCAGTTAAGAAAAGTTAAGATAATACAATTTACTCAGGTANNNAGTTAGTTTATTTAGTTACGTAGAAGCGACAGTCATGCATACCTACCCCCTACCCCACCCCCCCCCCCACACACACACACACAAAAAGAAACATGTATTAGGATGAGCATTAGTATTTTATATTGTCAAATAAAAATGTAATTTTTTTTTGAAGGCATGAGATAACTGGGATTATAACAAAGGTGGGAAGCAATGTGACAAAATTGAAGGATGGAGATAGAGTAGGTGTAGGTTGTTTGGCTGCAACATGTTTGAAGTGTGAGTATTGTAAAGACTCCCAAGAGAACTATTGTGACCAAGTCCAATTCACTTACAATGGCATCTTTTGGGATGGAACTATCACTTATGGTGGCTACTCTAATATGCTAGTTGCTGACCACAGGTAATAATATTCTTGTTATGTCTATGAGTTTAAGTTATGTATATTGATGTAACGGAAAATCGCGAGTTAACTAGCACATAATCATAAAGAAAATACAATAACAATATATCCAGTACCCAGTATAATCGCACATATTGGGGTCTGGAGAGGGTAGTACGTACGCAGACCTTACCCCTACCTTGTGAAGATAGAGAAGTTGTTTCTAATAGACCCTCAGCTCGAAAAAGTATAAGCATCACATTAATGAAAAGAAAGACAAGAAGAAATAGCACGGAGAATCCACGTAAAAACATCATTAAAAACAACAAGATAATCAAAAATTTAATGAGGTTCGATTAAATATACATCTTTGGAGCAGAAGCAGAGAAAGCTTTTTAATAAGAATGAAGGAGAAGAATAATACAAAAGACTCTAAATTAAAATTATGTCTCAAACCTATAAAGACAACGATTTTCCAAATCTACAAGAATTCTAATATAATTAGCATTCATAAAATTAAAGACCAAAGTAATAATTAATACATAGTTTTTTCTATATAATTAGTGTAATTTAATCAATGATAACATGCTAACATTTATAGATGAGGTACTCTTTTTTCCATAACTACAGACACGTGAATAATTTATGAAATTTACAAATTTTCTTGAAATAGTCAAATTTGGAGCATTCTAAAATGAATTTAAGTTACTCCCTCCTATTCACAATTAAGTGATTTTTTGATTGTTTTCACACATATTAAAAAATTTACTCTCTCCGGTCCATAATAAGTGACCAATTTGCTTTTTTATTTTGATCCAAAATAAGTGTCCATTCATATAACCAATAAACAATTCAATTTATTTTTTCAGAATTACCCTCATATACATATCCCTAGAAAGTCATTATCTATGCTAATTACTTTTAATTAAGGGTAGTTTAGTCATACTAATTACTTTTGTCTAGAATTTGGTATTTTCTTAATGGGTGTGCCTAAAGTAAATTGGTCACTTATTGTGACAGGAGGGAGTACCTTTTAATATTAATTAACAATTTAACTTTTACTATCTCTTCACATAAACACTCCAAACACATACTCCAACACTATTTACTCCAAGGGCAATGTAGGAAAAAAATAATCAATTGATTCTTGAAATCTGGAAAAATCATATATTTTGGACCACAAAAAAAAAAGGCCAAAAAATCACTTATTGTGGGCCAGAGGAAGTATATACACTGTTATGTGTAAGAAAATTTTACACCATATTTATTTTCAATATCACAAATCTCACAGTTTAAATTGGTGTATTAATACATAATCCTCTCGATTACTTGATAGTATAAAAAGTTGTTCGTTTAAATATAGTCTTTGTGTAAATGAAGGTACGTGGTACGTATACCAGATAACTTAGCAATGGATAGAGCAGCACCATTATTATGCGCAGGAATAACAGTTTATAGTCCACTGAAAGACAACAATTTGGTGAAAACACAAGGTAAAAGAATAGGGATTATTGGTCTAGGTGGACTTGGACATGTCGCAGTGAAATTTGGGAAAGCATTTGGACATCATGTTACTGTCATTAGTACATCTCCATCCAAAGAACAAGAAGCTAAACACAACTTGGGTGCTGATGATTTTATACTAAGCACTAATCCTAAACAAATGCAGGTTTGTTCTTTCCTTCCTACTGCATTTTTTTGGTATTTTTTGTTAGGAAAAATGATACCGTATAGACGTCGCTCTCAAAATAATAGTCGAAAAATGTATATTCTTTGTATATATATATACATTTTGTATGTTATATACAAAAACTATACAAATGTTATACACTTTTAGGCTACCGAATGTAAATAGTTTCTGGCGCGGGCTAAAATTAAAAAAAAAGCCCAACTCCCCCGATGTCGATACTCATATTGGGGTATTGACTAATTTGGATTTGTGTCGCGTAAGGCCTATGAAAGGGGGAAGCACTCTTTATTAGGATTTTTTTAATAGTTGGGGTTCAAACTCGAGACCTTTGGTTAAAGGCGGAGGGATCCTATCTATTTCACCACAAACTCTTGATATTCGTTTTTTTGGTATAAGAAAATAGTAAGTTATTTTCTGGTATTCAATTGTTAGAAAATATTAATGGAGGAAAATGATTTCTCCCACTTTTACACTAAAGTCACTTCATAATTATCTCGACTTTAACTTCATATCACTGCTCCAACTAATATTTACATATTACCTCAATCTATCTTGAAAATTTTGATCTATTTGATTTTTTGACATTATTATCACTCTTCATTAATTTTTTTTTATTTTTTATGAAGAATATTATTTTTCACTCTCTAACCAAATAAAAAAGTACTTTTTTTCAAAAGATATTTCCAAAAAATAAATCTTTTTTTGGAATATTGTTTCTGTCATACTTAATGCCCATTGAAATAGTTAATTATTTTCTATTTTATTATTCAACAAAAAATATGTTTTTCTGTTTGTAACATATAAATATTTAAGGAACTCAATAAAATATTGGATGGATTGTGAAGGTTTCTAACACTTAATTTGTTTGACTGATAGCGTACAAATATTTTCAGTGAATATCATAGATCAATCTTCGCTGTCTCTATTTAATTTTGTTAGAGAATAAATTTTTTTTTTAAAAGAAGGGCAGCCCGATGAACTAAGATTCTGCAGTTTCGCTATGCGCGGGGTCTAGGGAAGGGCCGGACCACAAGGGTATATTGAAAGCAATCTTACCCTGTATTTCTGCAAGAGTCTGTTTCCAGGGCTTGAACCGACCTTCTGGTCACATGGCAAGAGCTTTACCAGTTACGCCAAGGCTAGCTCCCCGAAGAATAAAAAATTACAGCTTCTAAAATTGTATTTTACATTCATTCTGCTTAATTGCAGGCAAGGAAAAGGACTCTAGACTTTATTTTGGATACAGTGGCAGCCAATCACTCACTTGGGATTTACTTAGAGCTTCTAAAAGTAAATGGAACTCTAGTAATTGTTGGAGCACCAGAAAAGCCAATTGATTTGCCTGCTTTCCCTATGATTTTTGGTAAAACTTTATATTATCACAATCTCCACTCAATTTATCAATAAGCATGCAACTATATGTTTGTATTTTTTCCAACAACAATATTGAAATTTCCTCATGTTGGTTGCAGTAATTTTTTCAAAAGAAAAGTCATTTGAGCATAATTTCAAATTTTCTCGCTCGAAAAATAAAATAAAATTTTCTTGCATTTCCATTATATATACAAAATTTTGCATTGGTATCAAACGATTATAATTCCCCCTTTTCTTTTCTAAAGTAATAATCGTCTTTTGATACACTTGTAAGATATTCAATAATTTATATTTACCTGTTGTAACAAGTACTTTGTTTTATTTTTAAGATTTTGTATTTAAGAAGGCTTATTTGAAGATTTTTATGAGTGATCTGATGGTGTAAAAATTAATGTATACTGATGATGTAAATGACAAGTAAATTAAAGAAGATTAATTGATTTTGCAGGGAAGAGAAATGTGAAAGGAAGCATGATAGGAAGCATAGAAGAGACACAAGAAATGATGGATTTATGTGGAAAACATAACATATTGAGTGATATAGAGATTATCACCACTGATCAAATTAATGAAGGACTTGATAGACTTGCAAAAAATGATGTTAAGTATCGTTTTGTCATTGACATTGCTGGTCAATCATCTAATCTTTAGGATCATTTAAGAAATGTTTTCACTAAATAATTACATCATTTTCTTAGTTTTTTAATCCGATCTTTTTTTTTTGTGTGTGTGTGATTCACATCTCATTTTAATCCAATTCCCTGAACTTGTATTTCTTATTATGAGAAGTATTTCTTATTGATTTGGCCGAACATTTTTATCACTTCTCTTAGCAATTCTTGTGAGGGAAAAGTCTTGAGAAGAAATATACCTATCCGATCGAGCCATATAAATTGTTCGTAAATGATCAATTTAGAAATCATAATGTATATGATAAGTCTGCACCAATTGCTATAAAATTGTGATTGATGCAATGATATTACGCGCGATTAACCTTGTTATATGAGAATGAGTATGATCTTATTATACATATTGATCATTTTAAACTTGTGTATAAATACATAATTTGAGTCGATCAACAATTGGTTCAGTTGAACTCATAGAACTCGCTCTAAATAAGATGGAAAGTTTTTAACACTTAAAATTCCAATTAATTGCATGTTCTACAATCGTTTACGCAATTTATACAATTTTTGCACCATTCTAGAAACAGGTAAAAATAACTACCCAAAAAAAAAAAAAAAAAAACTATCCAAATTGTGACTAGAATATTGCAAGATAGTCGGAAGAGATTAAAATATACACTAGAATATAGCCTTTGTTGAGATTGTGACTTATGTATCGTTCACATTTGGTGATGGCAGTCTAGTACTAGGTGACATCTTGTTGAGATCTAAGCCAAAACTTTCACCCCATTAATTATTCATCTTTCTCCATGTTTAGTACTCCAAGGAGATGGAGACCTACAACATAACAACATGAATTTCTCAACACAAACACTAAGGTATTTCGTACTATATTAATCTCAATAATTGGAAGATTAAAACTCTAGAATGTAAACAATAAAAGAGAATTGCAAAACAACTGAAGAAATATGATGGGTAACCAGAACGAAGATAAGGAATTAGATAGATAAATTGTAACATAATACGCATGCCTCCCTTTGCCGCATATCCTGCTATTTATAGATATATTCTCCCCATAGGGGCAATTTCGTCCATTCAGTTGATAATATACGACCACTCAACCATGCAACAATGTATGTGTAAATCATTTAATTACTTAACATACAATTCAATAGACTTGTAATATACCTAAGTTCTCGACAGGGGAGTTAGATGAAAGAATTAATGCACTTATCCGGTGGAATAATCGAATTGTGCGCAAACTAATTCTAGCACTACCGTTTCATATAAAATTAAATAAGCTCTACAAGAGATTGTCCTATGATTAAGAATTTACTTGCAACAACCGTTAAGTCAAACCATTTTTAATTAACTTTCAAAACACAATTTTTACCATCCTTTTAGATTAGAACCCATTCAAATAAATGTCAAACTTCCTATTGGTATTTGATACATCATGCATCAATTATATCATTATTGTTAATATAATTGTTGCGAGATGAATAAGATCCCTGCACTTTTAATTAGAGGTTTCTGATTCGAGCTCTAGGAATGAAATAAATCCCTGATAAAAGTATTTTCCCCTTTAATATGTCTCATATGCTACGAATCCGATTTAATGGGGCCCACGAGGATATCAGACATCGGATGTAAAACCAAAAGAAACTATCTCATGTTGAAAGAAGAATTACTAAGCTAGCGTTTGGTCATAGATCCCAAATTTATTTTGAAAAATCTGATTTGGGTGAAGTTTGGTTTGAAGATAAAAATGTGTTTGGACATACGATTTCAAAACATATTTTTCAACTTTATTTTGGGAAAACATGTATATAATTCCCAAGTTTTGGAAATTTGGCCCAAAGCTGAATTTGAGATTTCAAATATGTGATTTGAGTTTTGGCCAAAATGTGGGTCAAATTTATGGCCAAACATGGGATTTGAAAATAAATTTCAAATTAAATTTGGGAAAATGTATGGCCAAACAGGGGCTAAATTTGGGAAAATGTATGGCCAAACAGGGGCGAAGTATTTTTTTCAGTCTGCAGATGAAAAATAACACAGATTTAAGCCCCGTTTGGCCATACATTTTGGCACCGTTTTTCCAAATCTTTTTTGAAAACATTGTTTGTTTATAGATTAATGATCTATTTTTGAAAAATTTTTGAAATTATTTTTCAAATTCCCAAAATCTAGTTTAGGTAGATTTTGGGTGAAACTTGTTCTCCCACTCATAAAACTTCAAAATTTTTTCAAGGTCAGAATGGCCTAAATGGCACCTGTACTTCACCCACTTTGTCATGCCGGTCCCCAAACTTACATATTTGCCAATTAAACACTTATACTCATTCAAAACGTGAATAATAAACGCTTATCCAATGAGGCTGCGAGTGCGTGTTTGACAATCGCCTACACGTAGGACGCCACGTCAATAAAATATATCCACGTAGGCTCCAAGTCACATCTGATGGCCAAATAGGATAAAAAAATACTTACTTTAACCCCCCCCCCCCCAAAAAA